TCAGCCAAGGTCACTTATGTACTTATAAGGAGTGGTTTTTCACTGATTACCTAAGTTTAATGGGCTGTTGCCAGTCTCTTTTTGGCTTTCAGAGGCTGGCACAGCCAGTAAACTAAATCACATGGATGTCTACAGCCCCTGAACAGCTCAAATCAAATTCAGATCCGCTCCATCCATCCCGTCATTGGGATACACCCACCCTGCCAAGTATATCTGCCAGGCCTCATCCCCTGACAGTACCTAGTAAAAGATTTAAAAGCAGAGGCAGTCACCAACCCCCCCCCCCCAAGCTCATATATATTAGGCGCGCTTTATGGTACAGAAAGAAACCCTTGCAGCTCTGTCACCTGTCCTGCATAACATCCCTCTGCTTCAACCAAGTCCCTCTGGGCAGAGGAACAAATGTCACTTTCTTTTTATATGGGCACAAAAGAGACCTCAGGTTGACTCATCATCTGCTTTTCCTATCAAATGAACAGTTTGAATGTTTTTTAAGGAAATAATACTATTATCATTGCTGCACACCTTTTTATCTTCTTGGGATGCCAGATCTGATTCTCCAAACATTCTGAGCACTCACAGCAACAGACACCATGCTAAAGGGCCAAATGCCTAAGGACCTTCCAAAATTTACTATAAAGGACCTTGTGTGGAGATAAGAGATGGGCGCTTCTAAATAATATGTAAAATACAAGTCGGGCCAAGGGGGCTGAAAGACACATAAGCCATGGGTTATATGAATCCAGAGGAAGTAAAGCTGCACCCTGTTGAGAAGGTTTCTGGAGGTGGTAAAAATTCACATTTTGAGCAGAAGGATGGCAGCATTGGGATGGGCAAACAGAGGATGGAAATGAAAGCTTGGCTCGGTAGAATGGAGGCCAATGGCCTAATCAATGCTTGATCACACAATAATATAGCCGCCGTTACATGGGAGACGCTACATGGACAATCCTCTCTACTGCTGGGTAATGAGATTAACGCATAAGAAAACATTACACCTACCACATATTGCCATCATCTTCATCCTGTCTTCCCGTACAAGGCTATGGATTTGGAGTAGGTTTTAATCAGTAGATGGGCAGGTTTAAGTGGAACGAAAAAGCATGATTTATTTTAAAGGCATAAAATCAGAGGGGTAAAATGACAATGCGATGTGAAGCCTGGGGGTCCTTCTGGTCAGGTGGGCTGCCAGAAATCCTGCCCCCGCTGGGGAGCTGGACGTGCTTGTCTTCCTAGCTAAGAAGTGTTCAATCCTGAATTTGTGAAATTCAGAGTCCCTGAGGCTCCTCCACTCTCCCCACTGCAATGGCAGTTTCTCTGGCTGCAAAGCACAGGTGGGTTGTTGTCTAAAGTCTGATGTTTCTGCTAGTTACTGAACTTGTTTGGCTAGCATGGTGGTGTTACCCACAAATCTTTAAAAGCATTGGCAGAAATAAAATGAAAAAAAGTTACTGCAAGGCAGTGAAAGTATATTCTCTAACTGAGCTTTTTGTAGGTGGACAGATGGAAAGACAAAACCCCTGCAAAGGATCTAGATGGAACCGACAGTTACACAGTAACGACAAGGGTCCGCCGGACAGGGATCTTGTGCAAAGGCTGCTTATGGAGCAAGTCTGGGACAGACTGAGCCAGCAGCTTTTAAATAGGCCATCAATGACAGAAATCCCTGCTGGCTGCTCATCACAGAGCTGTCAAGGGCCCCACTTTGTCCGAAATGCTTCAGGAACATGATGTCCTGCGGAAAGGAACATCGGCTTGGCGGGGAAAAGCCCCTGCTCAAAGTAAATCTTATCTTGATTATTCTAAGAACACATGAATTACATTGTTCTTTGGTATGAGCGTATAAAAATATAGGAAGTTGACAACTTTATTCAATACGATGCATTTATTGCTGTCAGGTACCGGTTGGCAGATATTAGGGATAAAGATAATTAGAGGGTGGTTTCGGCTTGAACTGTTGGTAGTGAGGGTCATACTGAGAGAATCAGTAATCACAAAGAGCTGTAGTTGTGTACATACTACTGGCTGAGAGATGTGTATCTGGCTGCACCCATCCTACTGAAAGGTGCACAATTATCAGGACAGAATAATGTAATCACCATCATCAGGAACAGAATCCTTTCTTCTCGTCGATTCTCAACCAGGGATGGTAGGTGAAGGTGGTCTGTTTCATGAACAGGGAAAGTTCGTTTGAAATTGGTCCCTGTATAACCCATAAGCCATGTTTCACTTCATGAAACATTCTCGAAATGATGATCATTCACCTCCCCCGCTTAACCAAAACCTAAGGGTAGCCTTCTCAATATCGCAGTAGTTGGATGCCTGCAACACAGGCAGGCACATATGCCCACACCTGCCTGTAGTATTTTTATGAGGAGTCACTATCCTCAAAAAAAAAAAAAAAAAAAAAAAAAAAAAAAAAACTTATCAATACTGGAAAAATTCAGTGGAAGCTTTTTAATGTGAACCATTTTTCACGCCTAACTGAAGCCTGCCCAGCACAGTGGAAGTGTATTTGAAGTTCAGAGGAAGAAGGCAGGCTTCAGAAGCGTTTGTTCTCACTGGGAAAACTGCTTCAGCCTCATCCCCAGTCCAGACGGCTACACCTCCTCCTCTAGCCTCGCTTCTCTACCACGACCAAGTAGGTGGACACCCCTTTTCCTCCACAGTGTGCCTAAGGTTGAGGGTGTCACTGACCGGGCCCCTCGGGAGGCCATGGCTAGAACGCCCCTTGTTAGCTCGAAGCCTGGGGTTTGGGTCCCTGAGCTCCATCAGTGAAGCTTTGGGTCCCTGGCTGGGGGCAAGGGCGGGAGCAGTGTCTTGCAGAGCTCCGGAACCCCATGGTGGGAGAGCTCTATAGGTAGAAGCAGGTAGACCATGGCTCCATTATTGTGTCCACCTCACTCCTGGCTTGGCTGGGTGGTTTGAGTGCTTGCACCCCTCAGGGACCCCCCTCAGCTGCTGCTTCTGCTCCCCCAAATGACATTCTACCCACGGTTTGCCTTGCCTGGCTGTCAGGCCAGAAATACAAAGAGGATAATGTTTGTGGATGTGGTCATGTTTAAACAAGACGTTATGGAAAAGAGATGGAGAGTATTTTCACAAAGTGACTCTCGTCCCTTGTGCTCCCCCAAGCCCCTCCCCAGCACTTGAGACATCCGCTGAGACAGGTAGGAGAGGCTCTGCAGGATGATGGCTTCTTCCAAGCTGTCAAGGCCATAAAATTGCCAGGCTGCTGAGTGGAACACAGAGACTGCCACGCCGGGCTGTACTTGCTCTCAGTCCCAAGTGCACAGCTCTACCTGCCTTCTCCATATATAAGGGGAAACTTCAGGTCATCATCCTCAATGGTTTGTATGCCCCTTGTAGGGGGGGATAAACACTAACATTTACAAAAAAAAGGTTTGTGTGCACTCAGTGGACCGCTGCCTGGACACAGGCTAATTCTGGCAGCTCTTCATTCTCCCTGACACCTTCTCCATCACTCATCATCACCCATCAACTCTCTGCCTGACTTCTTCTAACAATCAAATAATGCTTACAGGGCTGTAATTAACAACCGAAGATATCAAGTGTGTGCTTATCGCCAGAGGGAGAGGGTAAGGTGGTAGTATTTGTAATTCTGCAAGAAGGGAGGTGGGATTCCTGGTCCTGGGGTGTTTTGTGCCTGGGGAAGGATAGTGAAGCCCCTCGGCAGCAGTGACAATCTCGGGTGGTCTCAACCCAGAGCTGAAAAACAGCAGAGCCGCATGGAGGTGAAACTCACCCAGGAGCCGGGACTCCCACCTTCAGGGTTGTTGCTTGCTCAAAGCAGCCTCAGATTGGATGGCTGGGAGAAGGAATATTTAGAGACTTGTTTGACCTGCAGATATTCTGGTATACAGAAATTCCTTGTTTGGGTCAATAGCTATTGTTATCTGACATGTCATCGTGAAAGAAAAAAAGCCAGTTTTATGCTTCCAGTGGCTTGTTCCATGGTTGTCCTAAATGCCATTGGCATTAACAGCAGAGGCTGTGGCTAACCCAGGAGAGAGAAAATGAAGTCTGTGTCTGCAATTTTGCCCATAAGAAGTTAAAAAACCAAAAGCAGTTGAATGTATGGTTTGATTACTAACTATGCCACTCTGGGCAAGTAGCTCCAATCTTTTCGTCTCCAAGGCTTCCTGAATTGTAAATGAGGATCATCACAGAGGATGTAACGAGCTGAGCACAGAGCCTGGCAATTTTGGGAAGTACTCATTTAGGTGGTAGCTATTACAGTCACTTCGTAGATAACTAATGGAGTTATCTGCAAAAATGGGAGAGTATCACCAAAGCAGTTATTAGTATTACATTAAAAACCGGGTAGCTCTTTTATTAGGCTAGTTAGGAAACAAGATGCTTTGGAAGTAATGTCTGCTGAGTAACAAAGCAAGGAAACTAATTTGTGAAATGTAATACCCCAATCTTGATATATATACAGGGCAACTTGGGAGGAGCATGCACCCAAATTTATGGAAGCTCTTTTGATACAGACAAAATGAATGTAATCCAATTCAAAAAGAGTTCATTTTTTTTTAAATCTTTTACTAGTGCCTGTCAGGGACTAGAGACATGGCAGATATACTTGTAGGGTGGGTGTATCCCAGACGGACGGATGGATGGACGGATCATGTTGAATTTGATTTGAGCTGATTTCAGGGGCTGTAGACATCCCACATGTATTGATTTAGTTTACTGGCTGCCCTTCCAGCCTCTACAAAAGAAAGCCAAAAAGAGACAGCAGCAACCCATTAAACTTAAGGTAATCAGTAGAAAAACCACTCCTTAAGTACATAAGTGACCTTGGCGAGCCCTTCTTTGGAAACAGCTATCCACGTTAAGTTAGGAGCAGGAGGCCTGGAGAGGAACAGAATGAACTGGAAAATTAATGCATCTCTCTTGGCGTGTGGCAGCCACATTACGACAGGAATGCTTTCTCTGTATGAGTGTTTCTGATGACCCTCTGCTTATACTCCTAGGCCCGAGTAATGGCAACTATTGGAGTGACCAGGGGACTTGGGGACCATGACCTGAAGGTGCATGACTCCAACATCTACATAAAACCATTCCTGTCTTCAGCTCCAGAGGTACTACATGGGGTTTTTGTTTCTATTTTGTGCAAATATTTTCTACATGATTCCTCCCATGACTTGCACCCCATACCCAGACAGTAGCCACCTTTCGTCACGTGTGCTTCTGCAGTGTTTCTTTGTCCCACTCCATCCTCACTCTGACTGTCCTGCTTCATACCCTCCTCACTTCCTGCCCAGGTGGTTGTTGCATAGCCACTGAGTGGCATTTCCTGCCTCCTCGATCCATCCCACGTATTGTCGTCAGGCCAAGTTTCCTAAACAGGCATTCTGACCCATTTGCTCAGAAACTATATCCCGGGGCTATGAGAATGAAGCCCAGACTCCGATGGTTGGCACTCAAGGCTTATTATAATTTGTCTGACTTTCTAGACCAAAAATTTGATCTTTGTTCCCCCCTAAACTTGCCAGAAAGAACTTGCTGTGTCCTTCCTGCACATGGCCTTCAGTTTCCCAAAGTTGCTTAAACTATTCCTTCTGACTAGAATGTCTTTCCTCCTGTCTGCAAACATCCAAATTCTTTTTTTCTCTAGGGTTTAACACATGCTTCTCCTGTGGAGACTTCCTGATTTCTCCCTCCCCCATCCAGAAATAATGTCTCTCTCTATACTGAGACACGTAAAGCAGCTACCTTTTAAGACATTTCCACTCTCTGCTTTTATATCCTACTTGTTCACATATATACTTTATCCCCTCATAGATTTTAATTGCCTGCAGAACTTGTGTCATTCAGCTGATGTTTAGAGAAGTTAACTGAAAAACAGGTTGTCATATCTTTGGTTAAAAGATTTTTTTTTTCTGGGGCGCCTGGATGACTCAGTCAGTTAAGCATCCGACTTGGGCTCAGGTCATGATCTCGTGGTTTGTGAGTTCGAGCCCCACATCGGGCTCTGTGCTGACGGTTCAGAGCCTGCAGCCTGCTTCGGATTCTGTGTCTCCCTTTCTTTCTGCCCCTCCCTTGCTCACACTCTGTGTGTGTGTGTGTGTGTGTGTGTGTGTCTCACAAAAATAAATAAACATTGAAAAAAAAAATTTCCCCTCACCTGAAACTGTTAAAAAAAAAAAAAAACGAAAAAACCAACAACACATTTTTCTTTTGATATGGGAAACATCCAGTTTTGTTTCAGGGTATATCTTTAGAAAACATTTTGAGGGGCGCCTGGGTGGCGCAGTCGGTTAAGCGTCCGACTTCAGCCAGGTCACGATCTCGCGGTCCGTGAGTTCGAGCCCCGCGTCAGGCTCTGGGCTGATGGCTCAGAGCCTGGAGCCTGTTTCCGATTCTGTGTCTCCCTCTCTCTCTGCCCCTCCCCCGTTCATGCTCTGTCTCTCTCTGTCCCAAAAATAAATAAAAACGTGGAAAAAAAAAATTTAAAAAAAAAAAAAAAAGAAAACATTTTGCTTTTGTAAGTTACAGAGAAATCTAAGTAATAGTAGGTTAAGGCTCTATTCTTTTCACATAACAAGGAGGCTGGAGTTTGGTGGCTACTACTGTTTGGTGCATCACCTCCAGCGTGCCAGGGCAGGCATCTCTGCTTCTCTGACTTTTCCTTCATGGTTGCAAGATGGTGAATGTGAGCTGCAAGCAGCTTTGAGCATAACATCTTCAGGCAAGGCAGGAAGAGAGTGGGCAGGCGGCCTGTCTGTCATCACTTGTATCTCATTGGCCAGAACTGTGTCACATGACCTCCCCTTGCTGCAAGGAAGGTTGAAGGAGAGAGCTTTGACTTTTCCAAGGGTTACAATAAAGGGGAGCCAGGGAGAGGTGAGTCGGGGACCAGTGGTGTTTGCATTCTGTGCAATTACCTGTTAAAGCAACGCCTTGCATCAGAAATGCCCAGAATGTTTAGATATGACTCCATCTGCATGTTCTTCCCAAGGGTAGGTGTTGTTTTACTTTTTAATTTTTTTAATGTTTATTTATTTGAGAGTGGAGGCGGGGGAGAGAGAGAGAGAGAGTATGAATGGGCAAGGGAGGGGTAGAGAGAGAGGGAGACATTCAATCTGAAAGCAGGCTCCAGGCTCTGAGCTGTCAGCACAGAGCCCAACGTGGGTGGGGCTTGAACTCACGAACCACAGATCATGACCTGAGCCGAGGTCAGATACTCAACCAACTGAGCCACCCAGGTGCCCTGGTAGGTGCTGTTTTACTGAAGCCTTTTTGTTGTTGTTGTTGGAGGAAATCAAAACCCACTCAAGCTAATTCAAAAGAGGAGGTGTTTGTTGCAATATTATTAGAAGAGATGTTTGTGGCATCCACAGGAAGAACCGTTAATAGCCAGCCTTTATGGGAGAATGGTTCTGGAATCAAGGCACCACTGGAGAGCCTCAGCAATGGGCTGAGGGCATGTCACCTTCATGAGGGTGTTCTGCCCTTAACGTGGCCAATCAAGTTCCATGTGTCTCTGCTACCAGTCAACTCAGCTTCTCACTCTTGATGACAGATTACCAGAGAGGAATCTCATTGACTCGACTAATTTTTTTTTAATGTTTGTTTATTTTTGAGAGAGAGAGAGAGAAATGTGTGTGAGGGGGAGGGGCAGAGAGAGAGGGAGACAGAGAATCCCAAGCAGGCTCCTCACTGTTAGTGCAGAGCCCGACTTGGGGCTCAAACCCACAAACTGAGATCATGACATGAGACGAAACCAAAAGTCAGACACTCAACTGAGTGAGCCACCCAGCCGCCCCATCGACTCACTTTTTATACCAGGCCATGAGTGACTTCCCAGCCTATAAATCACCCCTTCACGTTGTCTTCTCCAGAGCCATGGGCAGAAACAGCCACCAACATCCACCCCTTTGGCAGGGCTGTGAGCAAGGGGGTGGTTCTTTTAGAGTCTTTATTGCTGAGGCTGGCACCCAAGATACATCTAGCCACAGGAGGTTAGGAAGCCACTGAGGGGGATATCTCCAATAAATATAAGCCGTGGAAGATACACCCATTTCCTGATATCACCCAGGATTTCACGTGAGGTCAGCCTGGTGGAAATAATAATGACCATTTGTCAAGAACCCATAGATGTCTGTCTTTTAGTCCTCACACCAATTCTGTATGATGAGGACCAGAATCCAAGGCATCACTGAAGTGTCCAAGGCGTCACTGAAGCTAGTGGATCCCTGACCCCTCTATTCTGGCCAACACCAGGATCCATGAATTATTGCTGGAGGAAATAATTTCCTCTGCCGACCAGAGGAAAACAATAAATACTAGACTCATGGATTCTATATTTTCCCCCTTGAGAGAGAGGCACTCATCGGACATATTAATGGCGCCATCACCTTTTTCTTTGCAAAAGGGACAAATGAAGTATGACTCATGTTCTTGCGGGGGGGGCAGGGGGATCCTCAGGGAACACTAAATAATCACGTTGCTTCTTTTTTCTTTATTTTTTTTTTAACGTTTTATTTATTTTTGAGACAGAGACAGACAGAGCATGAATGGGGGAGGGGCAGAGAGAGAGGGAGACACAGAATCTGAAACAGGCTCCAGGCTCTGAGCGGTCAGCACAGAGCCCGACGCGGGGCTTGAACTCAAGGACCGCGAGATCATGACCTGAGCCGAAGTCGGCCGCTTAACCGACTGAGCCACCCAGGCACCCCTCACGTTGCTTCTTAAAACAGAGCGAAAACCTCCTTCTCACCCACTTCCACAGATACCTATGCTTTCTAGATAAAGTGAGAAGTTTGGTTTGGTTTGAAGGAGAATGATTTCTATGCAGATTATAGATCTCTAATCGTTCTGTTACCATGGCTCCAAAAAAGAGGCTGTAGGTTTAAAACTTGGGCATGCATGGAAGACTGCCTGGGGACTGATGAAAAATCCCAGTTGGTTGATCAGAAACCTCATGTCCCTTATCTAGAGTGATGCTTGTTTGCAGGGAATTGGGTTGAATGGTTCCGCCTTGGTGAGGGATTGGGCAGGTGGGCATGTTTGAAAGGAAACCGGCCACCTCTGGAAAAATGTAAGTGCTCTTAGAAAAGTTGTAGAGTTCGCTAAAATGTCGTTTTTATAATAACAGTAACATCTATTAACTTCTTAGTCTGGGCCAGACAACTTACTGTGTGTTTTACACACAGTATCTCATTTAATCCTCCACAACAACCCTATGGGGTACATATGATTAGTGTGCCCATTTTACACATTGGTAAATCGCGATGCAAGGAAGCGAAATAACTCCCCCAAGGTTGTACAGTTATTAAGTAACAAGATGGTACCAGGTCAGTCTAATTTGATGCAGGTCTGTAGGGGAGAGAAGCTGAGTTCAAAGGCATTTCTTTGGACAGTGTCCAAGGGACCCTCTTTGAGTCAAGGTTCAAGGGTCTCTGAAGAGAATCTTTGTCCTGGGACCTAAGTGGCTCAAGTTTCTCAAAGAAACACTACTGGCCTTGGACTGAAATTGTAGAAAATGATGGCATAGTGGAGAAAGTCATTGGGACAGACAGTAATAGCCTTTAGCGTGCCAACCTGTCTGTGCCAACCTGGGCCAGACAGAATTGTGCAAAATAAGATTGTGCACGTATAATTTAGCTTAATGGGTATGTAGTGTAGATCCCAAGATTCCTTTGCATGAGATTAAAATCATTGTACGTTTTAAATGCTTCCAGATGGAGGGGCCTTAGCCAGAACCACGAACGGGGAGGGGGAGCTTAGGGGGAAGGGGCGGAGCATCTGGAGTCAGCTACCATGGAGGAGTGTGGAAGGCCGACACAGGAGACCCCCCTCACTCCCAATCTCGGGCAGAAACTCCTCTTTCTTGGGTGGTAGTGATAAAGTCAGACACCAGACAGTGGCTAGCAGGAGTCTTTTGGGGAGCGTGGAAGCCGGGTAAATGTATCGAAACCATCGAATGAAGAGTAACTACCTCCTTTCCTGCCTGCATCCCCTCACCCCCCACCCCACGCCTACCCTGGCTTTCTAACTGTGACTTCCTAAGAACATTCCCCTGCTATGCTGCATCTTTGCCAAGCATGGGTCTTTATTTCACATTTGGTTTCTAAAT